GGCCTGGGCCCCTGCCGGATTCGGGCCGCCTTGGGCGGGGGGCCCCAGCCCGGCCCCGTCAAACCGCCACCCCGAGGATGCGCAGGCCGCACTAGGCCCCAGGCGTCCTGGCGGGCTCGGGAGGGAGGCGCTGCCCTCCCGAGAGCCCCAGGGTTCCGGCCTCCCCCGCCGCCCGAGGCTCTCGGGGCCCCGGCCTCCTCCCCGCCTTGGAACCCCGGGCCCGGGCCAGGCCTTCCCGCCGGCTCGGGCTCGGGAGCGGGAGGCCCGGGAGAGCGCGCCGAGCCCGGGAGCGGGAGGTGGGCGGGCTGCGCGGGACCAGAGCCACGGCTCCTCTCTCGCCCTCTCGGCCCTTCCCGGGTCTTGTCCGCGGGCGGCGCGGCGCGGCGGAGCCGGGCCAGGGCGCGGGAGCCGCTGTCTCCTGCGGGAGAGGAGGCTGGCTCTTTGGGCGACCTCCGAAGCTTCCCTCCCGCCGGGGTGGCGTGGGCTTGTTACCCAGGTGGACTAGGGGACGCTGGAATATGGCGCGTTGCCCACCTTCTTGCAAGTTAGGAGGCGGCCCGGGCGGCAGCGGCGGCAGTTCGAGGAGGAGGAGGGCGCAAAGTCCTTTTGTACGCAGAAATAAGGAGCGACATTGTGTTATCTTCTTCAGCTGAGATGCTGCCCATGGAGGGGGTCTTGGTTCTTCCTGCGCCTGGAGTGGTGGTCCCCTGGGTGAGGGCGAGGGGGAGTGGCGCGTCCCTCCGAAGGAACTGAACCTTTGCTACTGGAAGGACAGGGGTGCATGGTTTTATTCCATATCCCCGGCCTTTGGGGGAACTCAGGGGTTTGCCATTGCATGTTATCCGCTTCACTGTGCAGTGATGTCAACTGCCTTTCTCACCTGTTGTGTCGTTGCTGCTGGTCCCAAAGTTTTTACAGTGCGTCTGCCTGTGCCCACCAGCGCTTGAAGTTGTTTAAAATCTTAGTATTTTTAGGGCTTCCAACGATGTATCTGTTCCAACCAGTTGGAGGAGCCATTGCCTGTTCTCGTCCCTTGTTTCAGGCATTTAGATTAGAATATATTAATTGCTTACTTTAGAGCTAGTGTCAGTTGTGTTTGATTCTATGGCCAGAGCAAAATTCGCATTTTCTTAAGTGTTTCGAGACCGTATTTTCGAAACTCTTAAAGTGAAAGACTGTGGGGTGTACTTGTCAGCTTTGACAGTGGTAGGCAGGAGAATGGGTAGGGACATCTCACAGCTTTTGTCCTAGGACAGCATCTGCACCCCACAGTGATCATTTTCTTATTTCTTGTCAGACTTGCAGTTTAAGAAATTCCTTTTCCTTTGGCCTTGAACAGTAACTTAATAGGTTGTTCCTCACTGGGGGAGTAGAGGGGGCACGGGACCTTGAAAATGTTGGGGTTTTTTTTTTGATTGAGTAGTTTCTCGACCCCTTAGAATTACGTTTGAAAATTCTTTGAGTTATTCCATAAGGCAGTGAAAATATGAATGCCAAACAAAACAGCTTGACTAATTTTATCTGCACATTTGAGTGTAATTTCCTTATTTTATGAGTGTGAAAGCAAACATGTAATTATCACATGTAATGGAGTATATTTATTCTTAACTTGGGTTCTAAATTGTGTGCAGAATTTTTTGACTGTCAAGGAGCTTTTTTTTTCCTCCTGATAGGAGTTAGATGTGTCTTTCAGCAGTGTCTGTTTATGGTGATGGAAAATTTGGCAGCAGATATTGGTGATGGTTGTACAACACTATTAATTGAACTTACTAAATTGTACATGTGAAAAAGTTAAATTGGCAAATGTGTTATATATAATTTACAACAATAAAAAAAAAACTGGAATATTAACTATGTCAAAATACACAGGAAAAAAGACTAACGGTGAAGTTACATTTTTGTTTAAACAAAAATATCTCTTTAAATCTGTATTTGGATTTATTTTGACTGAATATCATTTAATAAAAAGGTAACATGTCCAAAAAAAAAAAAAAAGGTTGTAAAGTCAGCTTTTCATCAGTAAGCTGTATTTAAATTAAAAAGAACAAAAACAAAATCAGGGCCCGTGGGGGGTAAGAGGTGAGGGGTTGTGGATTAAGAATTACTGCTTTACTGTCTTCTGGATCATCCTTGTTTGAAGTCCTTTGATTTCATCACGAATGCCCCCCCCTCTCAAACTCAACATAGATGAGGGAAAATGATTTTTGTTTAGTTGTAAGTGATCATATTCTGATTCACCAGAACATTTTCTTGTTCCCAAACCAGAAGTTTTCTTGGAAGTGGTTTACTTACCAGTTTTTAAGGAAATTTAGCTCCTGGATTTAGGGGAGGTATTACTACAGGAGGTGAGGGACCTTGTCCAGATATAGAAGAGATTAAAGGGAAAAGTATCAGGTTTCCCACCCAATTCATGTATATTCCATTGGAATCCAAAATTGTAGAGTTTTTGTTTTTTTTTTAAATCACAGCTCTGCATCCATCTCTAATTTTGTTAGGGAGCTGAAGGCCAACCTCCCACGATTTAAATACAGTGAAGCCTGTGAGAGCCAGAACTAAACAGGACTGCCTTGTTTTTCTAGGTCTCGCATGTTTTCTGCCTTTGACAGGATGCAGTCATACCACTTTTCCATTGCTTGTTTTAGTGGAAAATCTTTCAGTTTTCCTTCTCTGATAGGTTTCCACCTTACACAGGTTCCAGCTTTTGCAGGATTTACTGTCCTGAATTTTTATTTATTTAAGTTTTAAATTTTTTTTAAAATTGTTGTAGTTTAAGTGAAAGTTTACCATTCAAATCAGTCTCTCATACAAAAATGTATACATACACTGTTATGTGACCCCAGTTGCTCTCCCTATACTGTGACAGCACACTCCTCCTTTCCACCCGTTTTCCCGCGGTTATTCAACCAACTCCTAACCCTCTCCGCCTTCTCATCTCACTTCTGGACAGAAGCTGCCCGTTTAGTCTAAGTATCTACTTGAGCTAAGAAGCTACTGTACCTGAATTTGCATTGCCCATACATGCTGTAGGTTCAAGCAAACCTCTGGATTGTCTTCGAGAAGCATTTCATGTAAAATAACCACAAATGGGTGACTGTTTTTTAAGCTCCTGTGGTCTGGGATTAAATTTTATATCTCTTTCCTTGGATGTGGTAAGGCATACAGTAAATGTTGGGGAATGAAATGATAAACAATAATTGTTAAAATTAAACTTCTTCACAATTAATTTGAGAAGACATGCTGATACTTTGGCTTCTGGAGAGGCTGTGAACCCTTTAGAAGTACACTCTCAAGTCCTGCCTCTGGGAAACAAGAAGGTAACGCGTAGGTTCTGCAGTCTGTCAGATGTCTTCAGGCCAGCTCGGTGCTCATGCTGAAGCAGACTTGTTCATCCACTCAGTATCACTCTAAAAAGTTGGAGAGCATGAGGGAAACTCCTGTGGGTTGTTGAATTTCCTAAGTGTCTAACCTCTCAAGCATTTGAATGTACCATCTCTGCGACTAATTAGTTTAGGAAGTGGGATATCTGAATTTAGATGTTTGTATATGACTCTGTGATGCTTATTAGTACATATATAAAAATAGTATTTGGAAATTAATCATACAAATAAATACAACTGTTTGGCTTTGTAAAAAAATTTCAGAAAATGTTCTGTAACTGAAGAATATTCTCTGTTCTGTCATGTTTTCCTTGAGAGCTAAAGCTAGTGTTTTCAGCCTGAGTGCACCCAAATAAATTTCCCATGAACACTTAGTAATTAACAGCATTGAAAAAGGAACCACTTGTTAAATTTATTTTAAAAACATTTTATTTATATCAAGTCTAATGTTTTGTGAGGCCCGGGATACATGTTAATTTTTGTGCGTTATGTATCATTTATTAACTAAAAACCAAACCCATTGTGATGGATTATCCATTTTCTTGGTTTTGCAGTTAGAATTTTTATCCATTACTACTCTACTAAGGGTGAACAGACTTGAAGAGAAATAGTAAAAGGAGGTGAAGCAAATCAGTTTCAGGTGTTTGCAGAAGATTACAGCCACATCAAGTTATTGGAAACTTTTAACTCTGGAGCAACAGGAATGCTTTGTCTGAAGTTATTTTAGTGTAACATGGACAACACTTGGAAAATGAGAAAGAAATTTTTCACTGCACAAGGAAAATAAACAGTGACGTTCAGAATTAGGCTAATGTGTTTTGACCCCACTCAATGGAGTTCAGTCACTGAAGCATCAAAAAGACTTCGTCATGTGGCTTTACACCTAAAATGTTCTAAAACATGGCATCAAGTAGAATTTATGTGAACTGAAGAAAAGCCAGAAATACAACTTTATGGAGATGTTCTAATATATTAAAACAAAGAAGTAAACAAAAAAGGGGCAGTTTAAGGCAGATCCTTGTGATCCATTGTGGCAAATCTGTGTTATAGCAATAACAGCAGTCACTTAGAAAATAATCTGGCAATACGGAATCTTTCTCCCGAATATCAGACCTAGTAGTTCATCTGTCTTGCCCCACGACAAACTGGTTTTGTTTAAAACTCCAAGTACATCAGATAATTTAAGGAAACCATGTCTAGTAAGGGAAGTATGTGTATGTGTGTTGGGGGAGGGCTGGTGGGAGAAGAGAGGAGGACAGAGAAGATGATACTGCTTAAAGAATCTAATTTGATAGGTTGGGATGATTACTGGAATTTGAAGGGGAGGATATTTTTAAAAGAAACTTTAAGAGCTACTTTTATATGGGCCATCAGTTTGATGATTGAAACTACTATTTAGAGTAATTGTACATAAGCTTAGTATTTAGATTAATTCATGGATGCTGATTTCTGTGGTAACAAATGTGAAAAGTTTGGTTGACAGTT